CTCCGACTGGTGGTCTTCAAGCTGGAATCCGAACATGAGAGAATAATGAATTGGTTTACTGATGTGAGTAGTCTTCACTGTTATAGGTACAGCAGATCCTGGACTAGCATGTTTTTGTCCAATAGGTAGACCCGCTCTGAGTTCATAAACGGTACTGCACATCAGGGACACTTAAATGTCCCGTTCTCGAACCGTAAAAATCGTCTTTACTTCAGTGGTTAAATAATTCCTGCGATATTTTTGAAGTGGGTCGTTTTTAGATGGAAGTCGTTTAGGGAAAACACACGTTTTTCTGTGAAATTCTCATCAATAAACCCCTACTTATATACCAAAAAATGGAATAGCCCCAACTTACAGCAGGAGAAAATTTGGTTAAGATCTAAATATGAGCTACCTTTTTGCAGAAAAGTCAATGTAACTTCTTTTAGCTAGAGTTCATAAGGGACCCGTCCTTCTATACATTAACTGAGAAGATGTTACATAGGAATTGAACATGCAAAATAGAGTTCCGCACATTAAATGCCGATCCTATCAGGCCAGAATTAATGCGTTCTTTGATTGCATTTAAAGGAAGATGGATTTTATCTAGGCAAATTGTTATCAGGTCCCGGTACTAAGGCATGCTATGATACTACAATACAATGCCAAACTTAGCGTACGTGGCCCTATCTAAACTTCATTCCTAGGACATGCTTACTTAGTGCATTTACGCAGGTATGCTGCGTTGGAGTTTCGGTTGCGGTTAAGCTTAAAAAGAGGGTTACAAGAATGGTTAAGTTTAGGGCTGGGGTTAAGATAAGGGTAAGGGTTATATTTACCTGCCTCCCGCCGTCTTACCCAATGCAGCCATCCGTAATCGATAACAATGGATTATCGGTTTTTCAAAAATTTATCCGCTCTTAAGTCACATCGCTCAGATTGGAATCTGACTTCTGCCACCCTACTGGAATAATTTAACAGAGATAGACCAGATTCCGCCACCATCTGCTTCAGTTTAAACGAACATTTACAAAGGGGACAGTCGAGTTTTTGGGTGCTGGCGGCAAAATAGAAACATCATGCTGTGCGACTAAACAAAATATATGTTACCATTCTGTCTGAACCTCGTGACCAAGAGGATATAGAAGGATTCTACTTCTAAACATCCCAAGCGAACCCCCAAACCCGTCCATAACTGCACACCAGAATAAAAGGCAACACAATCATGGCTACTTAAACCATTTAAGTAAGCATTTTATAAGATGGTCAGCAAGTGGGGATGCCGGACCATTTTTCACTAAATAATGGTTGGAATCAAGCAAATTAGAAGGATGAAATACCATTTAAAAAGTCCATATTGGTTTTATCAACTTTTAACGTGTTCTCAAGTAAATATCTTTAGAGTTATAACTGCTAGCCAATTTTACTACCATCCTGGTAAAGCATGTGACTTCCTATAAAGTACTTCGAGAACTACTCAACCATAATA